GAAATTTGTCAATTTTCAATTGACGTATATCTTATTTATTTATATCAAATGGCAGGCATTTTGATAGTTTCATTAGCCCTTTGGGTGACTTCAGGCCTCACAGAGAAAAAATATCAAAGTGAAAAAATTCGAGAGGGGGAGGGGGAACAGAAGAGTGTTTCAAAGATGTAAAAGAGACAGACACAAAGGTAGAAAAAGGGTGAGGTGAGTACTGTGAAATAGTCGAATTTGGCATACAGTGGGGTGATGGTAGTTTGAAGTCAGAAGTCAACTGCCAGTTAATAGACTTTTTTGTCGTATGAGTATACGTTGCCCAGGGTGCCCCACGTGGAGGTAAGTCTATCGCACACCCCTTGACGTATATCTAATATATGGCCAACAGTGCTGTCTTTGTTAGACTGCTCGCTACATTAGATGAGTTTGGGGTTCATTGAAAACCCCAAGAATGAAATGTCAGTTCACGTCAGTGTTATGCAACTGATAAACAAGTTTTAGAAAAGGAACATAATGCATCTCCTCTCAAAACAAATGCTAGTGAACATTTTCCTCCCATCTAGTAATAATATTCAGTCTTGAAACAGTAATGCTACTCTATAATTCTCCAAATTAGGACACTCTTAACGACCTTCTATAAAAGGAAGATATTAGGGCACTAACAAGCTCTTCTTCACTTCGAAGTAACTCCAAGAGAGAAACATGTTGGTCAAGGTCAGTTAGTTATGGCACTTTAATAAAGCATAAAACGAAATTCTGGCCCGAGAAAGTGGGTTACGCATATACAACATATAAATATGAAAGCTTAGGTTAGCAGTTCACTACAATCATCTAGAATAGTGTCACTATTCCAATTTGCGGGAGGTCTCCAAAATTCACAAGTCTATTCTATCCTTTCCTGCAAGTGGGCCACACAATATTCTCTGGAAAATCTTCTCATTTTCATGAACTCTCTGGTGAATGCAAAGATTCCAAAATAATAATAGGCCTCTTCTAAAAACTAGCTCAATTGTACCCATTTCTGACTTTGGTTGGATTGAGAGTGGGAATTTAGCACAAGAGATAACCACCGGAGGTTTTGCGTTTAGTAGTTTAACACTATGAGCATCCTAGACAGCAATGATAGCCCAATTCGTATACCACAACAAAGGAAAATCGTGCAAATCCTTTCTTATATCTGCATTCATTTACTTACGTCGGCATCCCTAATTTTGAATGGCAATCAACCAAGAACGCGCAGTGGCTCGTACGTTTTTTGATGCCAAAAATCTATTCCAGTTTCTCAATTCATTTGAGTGAATGATATATCAGCGCGCTGTTTCTGGATGGACTGTTGTTATTCCAACTCGATATATTAGAATTTCTGGCCAGAATTATTGTACAGACGTTGGTAGCAATTGAAAATAAACTGATTCTCGAATTTCGATAGTGTCTATTGGCACCTTCTTTGAGACACACTCATATAGTGAATTGCTTTCTCACTAATGTCTACTTATTTCCTTATAGTGACCTAGCCGGGGTTCCCTATTTTATAACCGCCGAGGAAGTAACTAAAAGCGAAACTGGTCCTGATTGGCGAAGAGTCTTCCTCTACCTCAGCTACATTCTAGTCGCCCTTGAAGAACACCCCCTCAACCGAGCCAATCTCTCCCAACTAATTCGCACAAACCGATAGACCAACTGAAAATATTTGCACACCTATTGTACATATTGCTTTATCGCCACTAGTTTAGCAAATGTTGCTCTATAGCTACCTACTTATTTCCCTACTTGAATAATAAACCAGGATTATCTGAACAAGTTCATGTCATACTGGCACATTTCAAAACAATTGCCCCATCGACTGGCTGTTTCTAGATTATATAAACATTCGTGCACACAGAATCCAAGACCAGAGCTTAAGTAAATTAAATTAAGTACGAAATGACGTTTTTTGCATTCTTCTGCCGAGCACGAGGAAAATAATACACACGTTCTCTACATATATGCTATATATATATATATTTACAAACAATAATTAAAAATATAAGATCATTTTAAAATGAAGACGGCGTTAAGACTTAGGGAAATGAGAAGAGGGGAATGGGATAGTTCAAGGGATATTTGAAAAACAACAACCGCACACACGCACAAGACGCAAGTGAAGAAGGTACCAGGCATACAGAGTGGAGTGGACGAGTGTGAGAAATATGCATACATAATAAGCTAATAAAAATAGAACGCCAGCCCTCACTTGATACTAGTAGTAATAGTAGACAATTAGAAGTGTTAGTCCACAGATATGGGAAGAGTAATTGAAGGGATATACGAATATTTACTAACAATAGAGAAGGGAGTTAAAGATACAAATGCTGCCTAGCCCATTTATGCCCCAAATAGGTGCAGGATTGTAATTAAGACAAATCTTCCTGTCTCCGCAGTCGTTTCACAGGAGATAAACCAGTGCTACGAAAACCAAAAGATGAAGAATGAAGGTCTCACATTTGAAACGAATAAAAGTAGATCATTGCTAATTACCTATCAGAAGAGGTGTCAAGGGGTTTCTTGAGCGTAGGAGATGACCCTGGAGAAACAGCTTCAGGCGGAGTGTTTCCTGCGTTTACTCCTTGACCAAAGTTGTGAGATTCCTGAAGCCAGCGGACTTGAGTAGCCGGACCATATCCCTTTTCATTACAAGCGGCAATGCGAAAAATCACCGCTGGTTTCGCATTCATATCCAAGTGTGCTTTGGTGAGGACCGAATGTGGAACCAATGCGATTGGCTGTGAACCGGCATAAACACGAACAAACGCCATTCCAGAGGGCACTGTTCCCAACTTTGCAAACAAAAAGTAAAGAAACAGTTAACTCCAGTTCCCAGATTTGATAACCCGAGTATATTCGACACTTACTTTAGACTCCTGCTGTTCTTTGACAATTCCTGGTTGAGACTTAACCGCTAAATAGACAGAATACTCAACAATACGACCAGCTGTAGTTTGAGGAGGCTCCCAGGTTAACTGAGCTCCCTGATCATTGGTAGTAATTTTTATGGCGCTTGGAGCACCAGGGAAACCTGGGACACAAGTTTTAAAAGCGGAAATCTCCGACCAAGGTCCACGACCACAAGCATTCAAACCTGCAACACGGAATTTGTATGCGGTACCGGGAACAAGGCCCATCTTTGGACCTTGGGGTGAAATACCATTTGCACCGATTCCGTTAACGCCTTGAAGTGCTTCAAGAGCCTGTGAATAGAAGAATAACATAAATGACGGTTATTAGGATCAAAAAATAAGAGGTCAAGTTGTGCTTACCTCAACACTAACACCGGCATCATTCGTATTAGCCGAATACACCGAAACAGTACACTTGGAGCCCTTTATAATACCGACATCATGCCAAGAACTATCACTGCGACTTGTAAGAAGGGAGGTGGAGCTTGTATTCGTTTGAGGTTGAGATGCGCCTCCGGAAGTTGTCATTCTTGGAGTAATAGCCATCTTTGACTGGGGATTTGCCACGGAGACATTAAGTGGAATCGAACGCAACCGTTTAGAGCTATCAGAGAAGGCGTCAAAAGATGACTGGCTATCAGTATCTACGAAGAAAAAATAACAAATAGATTGGAAAGAGTGAAATTAGAGGATCAAGAGGTAATGTGAGAGGTGAAAGAACAGAGGAAGATGACCACACCTCAGACTATGCCACAATGTTAGTAAACACAAAATTGTGCTACCGAAACAAAAATCACGACACAGCCACCAAGGCACCAATAACACCACAAAATAAACTTCAAACATGCAAAAATTATAAGTTTGTGAGGTGAGATATGTGATGCGTGGCAGAAAAAGAGGGCAGTGACATGCGGTGCAGGACATCTACCTTCTACTCCCGTTGTTGAAACGGTTTTACCCCCGCGTTTAGTTGCAACTGATGCCAGGGTTACAAGTGGGTCACCCGGTTGTTTTGTCTCCCCCTTGATTGTGTTGCTTTCACCACCTGCAGGAAGTTCAAACATAGAGATATGCCCCCCTGATGAAAGGAAACCTACGTTCGATAATGCTAATTGTCACAGATCTATTTCACTCATCTTTTATGGAAAACGAACTAAGACCTTAAATACTCTTCATATGTTTAAACGAGTTCAACTACTATCAGCAAAGGAGGGGGATTAGGAAACAGCCCTTATTAAGTGTACAAGACTTACAAGCATCACTTTCATCTTGAGGATTGCCAACTGAGGTTACGATAACAGAGCGTTTGTTCCCATCACCTTCGCTGGTTACGGAGCTCAGAGCATCGGTATGAGAATCACCAACATCTGCTAGTAATTCCGCAGCAGCCTCTTCAGCCATATTGCCGACAAGGGCGCTGACCTAAAACAGTATATTAAGTTGTTAAAATTGCAAATTAAGAGAAAACCACTGGTCCATAAATAAACCTTTCCAATAAAAATAGAAATATTACCATTTCACGCAGCCCATAATAGTAAGAACCTATATTTACGAAAAGTAAAGCATCTGGGACATTAGAAACCATAATAACAAGAAATTTACTAACGCTGTGAACTATGAGCCAGATTTGGTCAATCCAATATATATTCACAAACACTCCAAGGGTTCCTTCTAACATATTAGGGTCTCGCGATGATGATGGACCTCAAAAAAGCCAGTTCCTAAAATGTAACTGACTCATCGCAACTAACATGTTATTATACAAAACTCTGTGTGATCAATAACTAGAACATAATGGGAAAGACTGATCCAGTTCATGCAGGTTCTTCCCAACTCCCCAAGTACGTGATTACATAAATAACTATACATGTAAGCCAAGCAACTTCCTCTCGAAAACTCATTCCTTTGAAAAAATCTAAATTATGTAATAAAAAGAACTTACATCATCCTTATTTTCTGGGTTATCGCCATCAGTATCATCATCAATCCCATCAAGCTGAGGGATTTTACTCGAACCCATCTGTCCACCCTCTTCGTTGCTTTTGTCAACAGTCGAGTGAGTGCCAGAAGTTGTCCAGACAACATTACTCTGGGCAGTGCCACTCACATTTCCTATTCATGCAAAATAAGAAACAAATTAGTGAAAGATGGAGAATATGGCAAAAAGGTGAGGAAACACTCACCAGAAGAGCCAACAATTACAACTTGTCGTGGGGCAACAGAAGTATTACCAGAAGCGTGTTCGGAACGAGGTGATCCTGTTCCACTAGTGATAAAAATTTGTTTTCCAGGTGCCGATTTTTGGATGACATTTGCTGGGTAAGCTTTAATAACGTGTGGCTTGCCACCTACTGCAAAAAACAGGATATGCATGACGAGCAATCGAACTAGACACCAAATAAAAGGAAGAATCAGGAGTCATACCTGGAGTTGGATGAACGGAAATTGTCTTCGAGCTCATATTGATAGTGTGTTGACAGGAGGCAGATGAAGCAGATGATAGTATTTTAATGGGTCTAATTAGGCTACCTGGCTTTACGAGATGAACAACCGAACTCGGTGAAGTGGTTGAACCAGAGGGACTGGGAGAGGGTGCTGGTCTAATAGAACCCGAGATTATCTGGAGAAAACCAAAAAGTGCAAACAGTTGAGCTCATTTTAATAGCTTAATCAATTGAACGAATAGCGAAAAAGTCAATGAGACTATTCCAAGCAGAATCAAATAAGAGGTGATCAAATTCACAAATATACATTAACCAATTACAGATCCAGAAAACACAGATCAACTTTCAGGCCTCGTTTAGAAAAGTATTTTTACGAAAAGGTACCCATATGTCCACAAAATGCCAATGAGGATGAATTGTTTTCATCTCACATAGAGTAATAAGACACTAATCATGCAAATAAATAATTCCATGGAATATAGCTAACTTGAGGTCGTGTAACAGTTCCCATGTTTGTAGACCGAATCAAACCACCAGGTTGAGATTGGGAAGAGACCAAAATTGTCGGACGAACACTAGAAGTACCGCTAGGAACTGGAGTAATTTTTAAGCCTGTCGGAGTAACCACAGTAGGTACTCGTTGAGCACTAGCGCTAACTTGTGAACCGGCAACGGTAGTGATTGGGCGAACAGAAGAAGCCGTTGCCACATTCGATAAAGCCTGTACGGATCCAACAGTAGGAGTAGCAAAGCGCTAGAAGTAAAATCAATTCGAGAGCAAAAATAGAGCAAACAGGAAAGACGAAATTTAGAGAAAACGCACTTGGGCAGTGGGGGCAACAGGAGAACCCATACTACTGCTTGCAGGGGATTTTGTAGACGGTGAATCCACATTTGACATTTGGGACATCCTAGAGGCAGGAGGACTTATTGCGCCAGAAGTGGCCGATACTTCATACTTCTGAATCTGAAGAATGTAGGCATCGGCAGTTGGCACTGGTCCCCATGAAACATCAAGACTTGTGGTACCAGCTCTAACAAGTGAAACACGAGAAGGCGCTGCGGGCTTATCCGTTTCAAGGAACCACAAATCTTTGAAACAGACTTGATTATTCCAAGCTTTTCTGTAACCATCACGACCAGACCAAATATAAAGCCGAGTGCTGACTGCGACAGCTGAATGGCCAGCTCTTGCACGTGGGACTTGACTATCGTCATACACATCCATCTGAATCGACTCCCACGACATTGTATCCAAATTCAAACTGGCTAGTGAATTTGTACACTTCCATTCCTTTTCAACTGTTGCTTTCATGTCATCAGAAATCAGCGGCACCCAACCACCAAATACGTACATTCTAAGAAAGTAAAATTCTGTTAAGCTAGAACCCACCGATTGCCTATGACTGTGGCACTATGAAGGCTTCTTGGTTGTGGAGGAATACCAGAAATTATTGGCTGAGTCCAATTCATCGTGTCGAAATCAAGAAGATAAATATCTCCAAGCCGAGTGCCATTCATACCACCATAGACAAGAAGTCGCCATTTCTTGGATACACCATCCATAACTTGATAGGCAACTGCAGTATGGGATTCACGGGGTGTAGGAAGGCCACCATAACAAGCCGGAATATCCCAGCACATAGCTGAGGAATTGGGGCGAAGCTCAAGCGCGTACAAGTCATTAAGGTATCTAAATAAAAATTAAATATCAAGACATGTCAGATTGATAAAAAACCTTACCTTGGAATATTATTTTTGGGATCTTCACTATCGTTTGTAATTCCGCCAAAAAGGAAGGCCTTTTGACCAACAAGCGTGAAACTGTGGCCTAAAAGTAAAGCAACGAACTCGGGTTAATTGTCAAAAAAGATCAAGCATTTTATACTAATACCAAATACAAATATGTAGACCAATAACTACCTATTCGAGGACATGGCAAGGGACCATTCCTAGGAGGCTTGGGTTTAAGACGCCTCCATTCCCATTTTGTTGCCTGTAACTCATAGAGGTCATTGGAATACTTGCCATATTCCAACATGCCACCAAAGAGAAGTATTCTAGAATTGTCTGCAATCATACCAAACGCAGCACAGCCAGGTGGAATATCTCCGCGTACGGCAGGCAAGTGCCATTGATTCATAGCTAAAATATAAATTTCCTAAATTAAACTTTACCGGTGTTGAACACGTGGAGCTCATCGACAATCCCTTCATTTCCACCACCGAAAATAACAATAAGATCCTTTATTGCAACAGCTCGATGTCCATGACGGGATCGTGGAACATTTCCAGAAGCTGTTGTTACTTTTTTCCACTTTAGCGTAGGAGATGTACACGCCATCTTGATTTACGTAAAACGCGGCATTAACTATTAACCGAAATACAATTTATCTCAACAAACATTCAAAGTCCCAAAAAAGTTTTCCTTCTAAAGTGACAAAATTTTATTTTTCATTATTTTTTAAAAATATTTATAAATAAATTTACGCTTTAAAAAATGCATAAATTTACATTTGAATAAATATTTTTTTGTAAATTCAATTTTCAATATTAACTTATAATTCCTTATAAATTATTTAATAAAAGAATACCAATAGAAAATTAATTTTTTATTAACTTAACTGTCTTCAATATGTTTTTTTGCTATTAAATTATTTATTGCGCCCGAATGGTAAAACTATGGCCAATTAATATTCGTATCAGAACCTCAGTTTGTGCTTAAAATGGTTAATAAGGCTGCATTCCCCGTGGTGGTGCGAAGTCAAAATATATCTTTCCTGAATGGTGAATATATCTTTTGATGGAAGTATAGTATCTTCTATTCAGAGCCTAACCCTATTAGAATAAATAAGTCGAGTCACTCGTATTTTCATAACATTTTTGTCTACAACTGCATGGCAAAGTAAAGTTACATATTTTAACCTTCAATGATTAAAACCAATGATAATGTAATCGTTTTAAAATGAAGAGCAAAGTCAACGTCCCCGTTACGTTTTCTGACAGTAGGGCATTATCGATTTAACAAAGAAATAAGTTGTAAGAAGTTTAGCTAAATATGGAACTTCGTTTATATACATTCTCCGTAAAATTGTCAAATCATAGCACATATTATTATAGGTAATTTAATCACTATATTAAATAAATTGATTCTTCATATTGTTTGCATATAATCACGGATTGAAAAATTTTCTAAACTAAATTTTGCTTTGAAAATCACTGTTCATATCATTATAGTCAAGCGATTTAGCCTGAATATATTTATTTAAACGTGATTCCCGTGAAAGTCAAATAATTTTATAACATTTTTTGATCCATATCAGTTTATTTCTTCCTTACCTTCTGACAACAAAATAACATTCACTAAGTTGAATAATCTGAGTTCAAACGGTTATAAGATTGTCCTAGAATGGCTTCCATATTGAACCTCGGATTTTGTCCTTCAAGAGCAGCTTAAATAATTTCAATAAGTAGATTACATTTATGCATCAAATCAAGCATATTTTCATGAAACTTATGTTGCGAAAATCCTCAAAGTGAGCTGAACGGATAAGAGAATTTTTAGCTATAATTTGCATTTTAAAAGTAATTTCATACAACTTTATCGAAGCATATTTTATTCAATATCGTTCGTTGACGTTGCTGAAATTCAGTAATGAAAAAAACTAGAGAGCACCTATTATATTTCATTATAAAAATTTATTAGCAACAACCTATAATGTATAATCAATTAATTCAAAAAAACGATTATAATGAAAATTAATACCCCAAAGATCTTCCCATTTAAATTGTTTGTTAACCAACTAATTTGAAGTGAAAATTTTCGTAAATTTAGGCCTATATCCTAAGTTCTGGCTACAAAAATACGAAAGAATGATAAATAAAACAGGAGGAACTGTGATCAAACAATTATATATTGAAAAAATTTAAAAGAAGGTGGTAATTAATTGAAGACATTGGGATTTTAGTTATCAAACTTTTCAAATGTGTTTTGCTACTTTATTATATTTTAATGTTCTGCATATATTGAATTATCTCACGATTCTTCTCGAGGTTATGCCCTCAATGCTATAACCTCCCTTTAGGAGAATTTACATCCGATATAATCAATTTATAATTGAAGTAATGTAGATCAGAACAACAAACAAGGTAGGAGTTATATTACATATGCATCAAGATCGGTTGCAAAGTGGCCATGAGAGTCAATACCTTTTCGTGGGGTTAAAACTAGGGTTTATAAACAGATATCTTCGTGAGGCATCAGTCATCTTTGGACGTCGACATCTGGTGCTGACTGGTTACTGCGTAGGTTTTAACGTGAAAACCCACTAAGTTAGGCTTGGCACTTCATATCACTAGCTGTTGTCTGAAATTTACTGCATCTAGGAATAACAACCCACTTTTTATTTAAAAGGGTTTCAAGTAAATTATCTGAATTACTAGTTTTAGTTTACTAATAAAGCATTTTACCCCCAGTTACTAACTACTGCTAAAGGTAGTCAAGCAGCACTTTTCAAAGAAACAAGCTCAGTATCAACTGTAAAACGTGTTCCTGTCAAATATTCACTCAATCAGAGTTATCAAATGATTGGACTGCTTTATTTGCTCTTTGTCTTTTCTTAAAGTAACGGTACTATTTGGAGATTAATCAGACTAGTATTAGTAGTTATGATGGCATTACTGAATAGACGTAAAAGTAAGGCCGGAATTAAATAACTGGACACTTAAAATTAAAAATACATCCAATTTAATGAAAATTTTAATGTATATGTATTTTTATTTTATTAGATTTCTGAATACGATATAATAAACATGCTTCTTCTAGCTATTGGAAATAATGCAATTATATTTAAAACGAATTAATGTTTTGTCGATATATTGCTTCGTTATCATAAAATTTACATGTATATAAATATTTCAGATATTCAATCTTCCTAATGGAATATTCATGGAGTAAATTGAACTCTATTTGCATTTCCTTGAGAGTATCCTCAGGTTTGATTTATAGAAACGGAACGATTCAATTCAACTACAGTTTCGAAAGATTAGAAGTATTTTCGAGATTAGTAATGTTTTTTAGGAAGTGACAAAATCTTTTTCCGAAGTAGAAAATTGTGTTTTAATTGAGAGAAAGCCTTGTGAAATGGCTTATGTGCTGCTGGTAGTTCATCTATTCCCATCAACAAGCGGCCTCTATCGATTAACTTTATTTATCAATAATCCTTTTAAGTTAGCACAATTTCTTAATTTGCAACCACCTCACTTAAACATAGTCAAGAAGCCTACAATGATTTCAACAGAACAAATCGGCTTACGCCATTATTTAAAGATGAATTCACTTTCAACCAAAATGATGCTAGCAATGTTCAAATTCCTTCTGTGTTAAGCAATATTTGGGGCATTCTGAATGGAAAAAGTAGGTGGCATTACTTAATCATCCGACTTTAAGGGGATGATTTATGTGAAGATTCCATTTTCTCTAACAAAACTGGTTGCTGTGTTATAAACCCTTTGGAAGGTCTAATAGTCATTGAAGCTGCTAACTTTCCCAGACTTCTGCCATTTGTTGTTTGGAGAAAGGATGGTGCTATTGAAATTATAACCAGAGTAAGGAATTGACTGCACTAAAAATATTGATTTCTAACCTACTTAGTGCGCATATTAATGAGCAAATGCTTGAATATTTAAAGAACTGAGGATCGTTTTAAATTAATCAAGATTTTATTAAACTTGACGAAAAATGTTTTCTTTGCTCTTTGCTTGAAACTGCTACTAATACTCAATTTGCAATTTTGATGTCAAAGTTTTTAAGCCTATATATGTAAATGTAACGAAGTTTAAATCTCCCTCTAAAACTTCAAGTACACTTGTATATATTATTATTAGAAATGTTTAATCACATTAAGAAAATTGAGAATAGACTGCATTTATTTTAGTGCCCTTTGTTTTAGTTTTAGTTATTTTTCATTTCTCAAACTCTTAACTAAAATCGAGTGATTTCAAGCCCTCATCAGTAATTACCTACCAAGACCTAATTATTTTTTGTCATTAAGGTTGTACAATGTTCCCATATTTCTAATCACATTGTTATAATAATTTACTTCGCAATGAAATAGACCAGGAAAGCTTCTACTGAACCAACTAAACCGAATGAGCTGAATCTTAACGAAGATGATCCGTTTGTTGACGATGAAGATGAAACCGACTGTTTAGTGAGCCCTACGCTTAAATTTTGTGAACCAGGTATGGATGTTTGAATTCTTAATGCTATAAATCTATTTGTAGCAGATAGTCAAAGGTATATTTGCCGTGGTCCCTGCCCACTAGTTCTGACTCGAGATATGCTAATGTTATAAAGCACGAAACATCTGCTTTCTTTTCAAGCCAATGAAGGAGGTGGGCGATTATAACACTGAAGTATATGTTAAGTCAGGACCAATGTGCCAGGAGCAATGTAGACTATCGTTCTGGTAAATTTCTGCCAACTAAAGGTTTAATAAAATAGAATGTAGAAATGAAGTTCGTATTGACTACCAGTGAAATGAAAGTATTGCAGTTTCTGACTTATAGCTAAAAAACTGGAAACAACGCTTAATTCGAGGAACAAACCGATTATCAGCATTTATTTATAACAAATGGGAGGCTTTATGATAGTAATCGTTAACTCTATAATTGAATTCGGGCTTCACAGAGGAGAGGAACAGACAAAGTTATAAAAAGTGGGGAGAGGGAACAGAAGAGCGATTCACAGATGTATAGGAGACAGGCAGACAAAGGTAGAGGAAAAGTTAAGGTGGGTACTGTGAAAGTAGTCCAATATGACATACAGTTTGCCCAGGGTGCGCCATGTGGAGGTAAGTCGATTGTGCACTCCGATAATGGCTGTGATTTGGCATTTTTGGGTATTTCGTACTCCGTGATCGTTGCAGATATTTTGCAAGTACGTTCGAAATAACGGTTTGATAAATAGACGGAGTTAATTACTGGCCCCGAAGAGGTTCAACGGATATATTTTTCTCGTGAGAAAGTATCGGAAAAATGGGAAATAACAAGTTAATTATTCTAGACGAAGCTGAAAATAACATTATGATAACAAAAATCCTAACCCAACTTAATTTTGAGGAAATAGCTTTAACTTTCGCTTTGTATATAATTCAATTTTGTGTGGGGTATTTATATCAAATGGCAGGCATTATTATAGTTATCATTAGCCCTTTAGTTGACTTCAGGCTTCACAGAGGGGAAAGAACAATAAAGAGAAAAAAGCTGAGATGGTGGGGAGGGGGGAACAGAAGAGTGATTCAAAGATGTAAAAGAGACAGACACAAAGGTAGGAAAAAGGTG